CCCTCTGTCCCTCACTCACTCTGTGGCTCCAGCCGGGTGAGGAGGGGCTGGGCCCCGCTCACGGCCGCCGCCGTCAGCGTCTTCACCCCCTTCTCGGCGACATCGCAGACGGAGCGGACGTAGGGGTGGCTCTCCTTGGTGGAGCTGTAGGCGCTGGACACCATGTCGTAGGCAGAGCTCACCAGGGGCAGGTTGGCCACGCGCGTCCCGATGCTCTGGGGGGCGTGGGAGGAGTCAGGAGTGAGCGTGGGGGGTGATGGACCCCAAATCTCACAGGGGACCCCCAAATCTCACAGGGGACGGGGCGTACTCTGTGCCCCCACCTCTCCCGGGATGGTTTTGGGGTTCTCCCGGGATGGTTTTGGGGTGCTCCCGGGGCTTTCCCAGCCTTGTGAAGGAACAAAGCAGAGTCCCGTCCCCGAGCGAGGACATGTTTTGGGATGAACCCCCTCCCACCCAAAGCCGCCCCTCCCTTTCCACCACTGACCTGCTGCTCCTCCGCCTTGGGCTGCGCCGTCGCGGGCTCGGGGGTGGCCATGGTGGGGCTGGGGGGGGACGGGAAAGGATCGTGAGTGGGGTCAGACCCTCCCCCCAACACTCCCCTCAAACCCCCCGGATGGGGGGACCCAAAGTTTCCCACTCCTTGGGCCGGGGCGGCTCCCACGCGGTTGGGAAAACCCGGGACAGGGGGGTCCCAGAGACCGGCACCGGGATCGCCATCGGGACCGGGATTGAGACCGGGACCGCGACCGAGACCGCGACCGGGACCAGGATTGGGACCGCAACCGAAAGCGGAACCGGGATTGCGATCGAAAATGGGATCGCAATCGGGATCGGGATCGGGACCGGGATATGGATCGGGCTCACCGCTGGTGGCTCCGCTGGGTTCGGCTCCGCTCGGTTCGCTCGTGGCTCCGGGCTCGCCCCGCTCCTCCCCAGCGCCCTTTATACCCCCGGAGCCCGGCCCCGAGCGCATGTGACCGGAGACGCCCAGCGGGGCCGGCCCGGGGCGCACCGGGAGCACCGACCGGCGGGGCCGCGACCGCGGAGAACCCCCGGCACCGGGGCTGGGATCCCCCCGGGACCGGGACCGGGATCCCCCCGGCACCGGGGCTGGGATCCCCCCGGCACCGGGACTGGGATCCCCCCGGGACCGGGGCTGGGATCCCCCCGGGACCGGGGCTGGGATTCTCCCGGCACCGGGACTGGGATCCCCCCGGGACCGGGATTAGGATCCCCCCGGGACCCGGCTGCAACCCCCCGAGAACCGTCTGCACCGAGTCCCCCTCCCAGCACCGGGACTGGGCTCCACTGACCCCCCGGTACCGGATCCCCCGGGAATGGGCTGCGCTGACCTCCCCCG